AGCGGCCAGCGCGACCGTCACCTACGAGACGTGCTGGGGCTACTACGACGTGAGCGGCCAGTACGACAAGGAGTTCGAGTGTAACAACAGCGAGAGCGGCTACCTGTACTGCTGCGGCACCTGCTACTACCGCTTCTGCTGCAAGAAGCGCCACGAGAAGCTGGACCAGCGCCAGTGCACCAACTACCAGAGCCCGGTGTGGGTACAGACGCCCAGCACCAAAGTGGTGTCGCCGGGGCCCGAGAACAAGTACGACCCGGAGAAGGACAAGACCAACTTCACCGTCTACATCACCTGCGGGGTGATCGCCTTCGTCATCGTGGCCGGCGTCTTCGCCAAGGTCTCCTACGACAAGGCCCACCGCCCTCCGCGGGAGATGAACATCCACAGGTGAGAGCGCCGCGTGCCGCGCGCCCTGGTGTCCCCGCGGCCTCACCCTCTCAACTTGCTTCCCCTGTCCTCTTCACTCTTGGCCTCGCCACACCTCCCCTGGCCCTCTTAAGTTATTTCCACCATCGCTCCTTTTGCATGCAATAAATCAGGGTCTTCTTGTGCCCCCTCCTCCATTTCTTCAGAACCGGGAATGCATGCTTTGGTGGTAGGGGGATTTACAAGGCAGAGTAAGAAATTGGTAGAGTGCGTGCAGTTCCAAGTGTGAGAATGTTACAAATTCTGTAATCCTGGATGAGGATCCAGGGTTCTGCTTTCCTTTCCTGGCATGTGGGCACTTTGGTGTAGGTTCTTAATGGCATTTAGTTTTTTGAGTCAAATCGGAGTGTCATCTTCAATATAGGAAACTGACCAATGTTGGAACCTTACTGAAAGCGGTACCGGGTGGCTTAGTGTCAACTGAGACGTTCTTGTACACTAGGAATTGGGGTTTTATAGAAAGGATGCCTCCTGCCGGAAGTAGAGATAAAGATTTCTCCATTCCATGTTGACCAAGCACAGATGGTGTCTCCTCATTGCATCCTGAGAAGTGGGATGTGTATCTTTCCTGCTGAGACTGGAGGACTTGTTCTTTGAAACCCTGTAGTTAGAACTTTGACTTAACAGTTCTTGCCTGTGTTAAATCTGGTGGGGCATCTTTCATTGCTTACATTCGAGAGGGAGTGGGGGCTACCTCCTACCAAAACTTACGCCAAGAGCTCAAACTATGGCAGTCCCTGGTTCCACTCTGAATCCTGCCCCGAGGCACCATCTTGCCCCCACAGTGAGCCCTTGGGGAGGTCAAAGCCAAGGGGACGACAGAAACCCAGCCTCCCCTTAGAACTCTAGGAATGACACACCCAGGGGATGCAGAATTAGCTTGGCTTCCAGCCCCCTCATGTTGATGGATGTCTGGACGTGGTGCGAGAGTCCTCTCAGGGAACAAACGCTGCCCCAGGAGATGCCTCCATTTCTGGTGCATGGTGTGAGCACTGCCCTAGTCACCATGACCACCCCCCAGACTACTGTTTGTCGGTCAGCCCTGCAGGCCCCCACACTGACCCATTCACCTTGAGCTCTTCTCTGCATCCTGCTTGTTATCCTTACCACCTGAAAACCTCCTTCCTCGCTCCTGTGTACGTTAATCACCCCTGCCTTGCTGAAGAGAGAGAAAGGCAGATAGAAATTTCTAGGCATATTAAAAGAGCTGATTTTTTCTTTTTCCTGCTTGATACTGTGGGTGTTGAGAGAAATGATACTCCCTGGCAGGTTTTATTGAGTCAAATCCACAAAGGGTGGGTACCTCAAACTCGGGTGCTGGAATTGGAGTGATTCCAACAGGAGACCTCGGTCACCCTGAGGTGCCTCCACCCTGTCTTCCACCCGCAGCTCATGTCTCAGATAGTGCAGTAAGTATCCTCCTGTGTGAGAAACAGCCTGTGGTCAGTCTTGGCTCTCAAATGCAGAAGACAAGTGGGATGGTGAGCAAAATAAAGGCAAGACACTGTGTCTTTTGCATCTTGTCGGCAAAGAATTTTCTCTCTTGGCTCAGTGTAGAAAGAAGAGAAGGAATTGCCTGTGGGCAGGTGCTGTCCTGAAGCAGATGTGGTGGTCGTTATCATCGTTACACCTCTGCCTCAAGACTTGGAGGCTTGTCTCCTTTTCCCCTTCCCCTGTGGCCTTGGCCTCTCATTAAACCTTCTGCTCTGACCACAGCTGCTTGCTGGTTGATTCCTACACATCTTTCTTTAAGTTACTTTCTTCCCTGAACCGTTGTTACCTGTACTCCGGGAAAACTGCCTGCTGCCCTGACACTTCCGCCTCATAGAGTTTATTCATCATCGCCTGAGATGATACAGAGGGCGGTGTCCTCAAATGCTGACAGCAGGCATCTTTGGATGCTGGCATTGGCACATGACCCTGGAGAGGTCACGTTCCCTCTTGGTGTTTTTTCCCCTCCCCACCACCCTGACGCCCCTGACGCCAAACTAGGGTGAAGGTGATGACACCATTGGGGCAACTTCTCTCTGGGGTTGGGGAAGCGGAGTAACCACGGGAAGGGAGATGAATTTCAGGCCTCAGAACATTATGCAAATATGGGATGTTTCCCCCTCAAGTTCACCTCCTGATTTTATTCAGTTCACAGCCTCTCTTCCAGCAGCTGCAGTCTTGCCTGATCAGTGCTTTGGAAACCATCATATCCGCGCCTGTTGGGTAGGGGACAATGCCTGTCTGTGTGTGGTGGGGCGGCAGGGGGGACAGAGCACGGGCGATCCATCTACGACACTCTATGAATGACCTTGGGCAGGTCAGGAAAACTTATTTTTCAGTTCTGGGTAACTCAAGCACAGCAGTGTCCCAACTTAACCTCTTGCTTCCGGGGCACGTCAGGGTGAGTGTGCAAGTTGCTGTCAGACTCCTGGGGGTGAACGCGACTACACCACTCCTCTCGCTTTGCTCACACACCTGAGAGGCCGCCGTATGTCCTTCCGGGGAGTATTTTTTGTGCAGACTGTCTTGTTGGGCGATCGGGGTAGGGAACAGGAGGGAGTGATGGAGAAAGAGAGAAACAGTCACACCATGTGAGTTTTCCTTAGGGAAGGTGGGGAGGAGAAAGAATGTACACTCTTGAGCGGTCAAGAGAGGAAGTGAAGGTGCATGCAGTTACATATTCCTTGAAATAGTTCGGCAAAGATGTTTCCTGTCTGAACAGGAAAGACAAGCTGGTTTCAGTGTGTGCCTCTCCCTAAAGATGATAGCTGGGCAGGCAGGGGCTGAGTCTGAGAGAGTTTCAGTGAGAACAGCCTCATTGGAGAGGGACGTTTGTGGGAGTGTGAGCAGGGGTGAAGGGAAGGGACGGACCATCTGCGTCTGCCTCGGTGCTCCCAGGTTGGACAGCCGTCCGCCTGCCCATGCACACACATTCCTTAGGGTAGGACTTCCTTTCATCTCTCTACTCCTTCAGGGAAGAACAGATTTCATTATTTCCAGAAGTGATTAGACCTTGCTGTCGTGTTTCTGAGTGAGAAATGAGTGTCTGTGGGGGAAACTATCAGCTCCCTAGTGATTCTAACAGATGAGTACCAAGTCCGACTCAGCTAGCTGAACTCCGTGGAGGAGGAAGAGATGGGCACAGGATTGAAAGGCAGAGCTGGGTGCTGGATGTGGTCAGAGAGCCCCAGGGCAGCCGTGCCTACCTTTGCCAACTGGAAGCCCAATTCCCACCAGGCTCCCCACTTTACTTTTCCCCTTCTTCCAAACTGCCTGGGCTCAGGCTCAAGCTGCAGCCATCCACAGATTTTCCTATTTCCCGAGTGATTTCCGCACAGCTCCCCTGAGGGGCCCTTTGTTCTGGGAGGGCCGCCAAGGGCACGGGCTGAGCCCAGGAAACAGTCTGGGAGCCTGGTCCTTTTTGACATTCCTTTTCGTGCTAGCTGTCTCACATCCAAACCTGTTCCTTCCTCCTCGCCCTGAGTTGATTCATTAGTGTCTTGGAGATGAGAATCATTCTGAGGGAGGAACTGTGTGGCTTTTTTTAATGGCTAATTAACAGATGGGTCAGGAAGCTATTAGGATGCTGGAGACGCAGTTGGTGAAATCAGAGCTGCCCTGGGTCCTCCCACTGCCTGCACAGGAGCAGAGGGGATCAAAGAATGTGGGTGGGGTGGCGGTGAGGGGGGATATCTAGGGGTGTGGGAAGAAAAATCCGGGTGGATATGAACCGGAAAAAGTATTAGGAGGTGACCCCTTCATCTTGGGTTTGTCCTCTTGCTTGTTTCTAGGGGAAGTCAAGGGAATACTTTGTTCTACTCTTTCTCCCTCCAGAAATTAATTAGAAACTCAAAGAGCTCTGTTCTCTCCTCACAGGCTACATAACTGCAGTGGCAGGGCCCCTTGGCTGGCTGATTTAGTGAGTTCTCTTCCTAGGCTCCTGGGCAACGAATTGTCAAGTCACTGCGTTTTTTGAAGCACTGAGCTCACTATAATGAATTGATCTAAATAGAGAGTCAACTTATTTTTCTACTTCAAATATAGAAGGAA